CTAATGAAATGAGGTGCAGTGTCAACCTCATAATTGTTCCTTTTCCTCTGCCTTCTCTCCAGGGTATTTCCTGAGACCAAGGATCATATCCTGATTCCTCTGGAACCTCCCTAATGTTGAGTACATAGTTGGCATTATGCTTTTGCTGGAGAGAACATATCTGTTTGCAGAAGAAGGAAAGACATATAGGATTTTATTCCATTTTTCAATGGCATTTTTTTCTGTCTGTTCTCAAAATAAACTTTGGCTATTTTTGCCTCTGGAGAATGGCATCATAAAGCTGTTTGGATCAATCCATGTCAGCCGGCCATTTCATCTGCATTGTGATTCAGAGGGTGGGCAGGAGGTCTGGCTCGCGTATTTGCAGCAGCTCCTGGGTGTTGGTTTTCTCATCTGGTTTTTCAATCCACTGGGCATCAAACCATATTTCCTAGGGAACCATCTTTCTCATCTGGGCTTCGAGCTTGGTGAAGAAGGCTGATCCTCGACAAGTGACAATTTGGGGCTTTGATAAAGATACTGACCACATTGTGTTGCTCTTCAAGCAGTGCCAGCTCCTTCCAGGTCCCTGAAGGCACCATGCTGTTCCATATGCAGTCCTTACCTTGTTTTGCCTCCTGGAGAAACTTTCACCCATGTTTCTACCTCCTTCTCATCCAGATGAGTCACATCTGTCTGCATCCTTGCAGAATGAAGCCCCTCCCCCACCTCTCATAACTTACCTTCTTCCCTGTCTGAACCCCTGCATTATTCAAACCTGCACAGATTTTTCCCATAACGTCTTTAAAACTTGATTATGCTTATTGGTCTCTCTGTTTCCCTTTATGGAGTATGTTTAGTTGAAAAATAATACTGTGGTTTTATTTCTTCATTCATATACCTAGTACCTTACCTGAAATAGGGAGGATGCATGGATTGTTACCAGGAAGGGAAACAGGCAAAGAAAACTTTTCAAAGTTATGAATGCTGGTATTCTTTCTTGCTAACACTCTGCAGGCCTTTTCTTTCCCTCCTATAATACACCAGGGCTGTGTATTTCAGGGCATACAAAGTAATGCCAACAGGCCCAGTTTTTCCAAACTTTAGATCAGATGCCAAGAGGGGGACCTCTTGATTCATCAGAGAGCTCTTTTACTTCCTTAGGTTTGTTTTCCATTGATTATCAGGGTTAAAATCTAACTAGGAAGATAGTTCTGCTAAAAATGTAATAGAGAGTTAAACATTAGGTTGGTGGTATGTTTTCTATGCACATAAGACAAATGTTGATTCATCTTTGGATTCATAGGTGTGACCTCTGCTCTGTGACTGAGAGTTGGATGTAAATAAAGCTTTTTGAGGGACAAAAAAATGGCAACTCCTAGAGGATTTTGTGTGATGTTGTTCATTATTTTTATTTCAAATTAGCTGTTCTGAAGAGTTCCAAATTTGGTGAGAATTGTAGGAAGGAAAAGTTCTCAACACCAGTAAGCAAAGTACCCAGGGCCTGTCTCCTTTCTTCCTCACAGAAAACCGATGGTTAGACCCTCATCAGCTGTTCCACAAACAATAGCAGTCAGTCCTAGGTTGCTCCTAGTAAACCCGTGTTCCCACCTGTGAATGAATGGCTGTTTTGTGTTCATGACTCAAACCAGTGGAGGTTGGAAGGATGCCGAAGTGTTGGGTGATGCTGACAATGCAAAGGCAAGAAGAAAAGTCTTAAGGTTTTCAATCCATCGAGCATCAACTCTTACTTCGCAGGAAACCATCTGATCCACATTTCCAAGCCCTATCCGTTTGACACCTGTGACCTGAAGCGTGCAGGTCAATCGCATAGTGCACATGTGGGTGCGGGTGTGTGGTTTTATCTCAAGATATTATGTCTTCTCTTCAGGATGAACTTTGATGGAAAAAAAAACACATTCACATTGTTGTGTGTAGGAGTCTTCTCTTTGTCTCCTATCATATTTCACTTGTTAACACTTCTTCCTTATTCTCTGACCAGTCAGATGCTTGACCAGAGTGACCAGGAAGAGAGTGGGCATTATTATAGACATGGGAGGTTTTAGTTATGTTAGATTGGTATCAGAAGGTTGGGGATATAAGTTAAAATTTGTAAGATTTCTGTTTGCAGATGGTGCTTGTAAATGTGTGAATGTCGTCTCTATTTCCATTGAATGACCAGTCAGTTTTGGTTGATGCAAAAGGAAAGGTGAACAGTATCCACGATGTTAGTTCCATTTAAGGTATCCAGAATGTTTGGGGAACACCCCACTTCTGCACAAGAAAGACAGCAAGGGAGCCATACTGTGGTGACAGTCAAGTTACAGTCAAGGGATCCTGGCTTCAGGGAAGGGTCCTAAAGCCTTTCCCTGGGTTTTATCAGAAGTTTATAACCTCCAGTTGTATAACTAATCCACAAATTATTTTTGTATAAATGGGTTATCTTGCACAGTTGCCTACAGTGACAGTCACCGGCCTCTTTTCTGCTTGACCACATGACACTGTGAAATCTCCCTTAGATCACCATGTCACTGCAGAGAAGATCTAAATACAGGCATACCGTAAGGATTTCTTGTGCACTCCTTCTACCAGGTTATATGTGATATAATGAATGAAGTGGGCTTCTTCAGTGGAAGAGGCCACTGGTAAGCACATCCTTAGAGTGATTGTTAATTATTCCCACCTTGTTTGCTAAACAGAAGATTTTATCCATAAGAAACAATTTTCATGACCCTATGATAATTCAAAGACCTTGAACCAAATACGTAGATGCTTATTGTCTTCAATGTATGGAGCATATGAGAGCTTTACAAAGCTTATTTTAAAAAATGAGTTGTAGTTGTAAGGTGGGGGGTGGCCAAAGCGCCACTTGTAAGTGAGGGAGGAGAATCAAAGGAGAAAACAAATGGCTCAGGTGCCGTGGAGTGTCTGTGTCTCCAGTGCATTACACGCCACTAGAATGGACGCTCTGTGAAAGACAGGCTTTCTAGTGCCCATTGCTGTATCCTCAGTGCTTGGAAAATGCAGCATGTACTAGAGAGTTAATAAATTATATTTATGTGAATAAATAGTGAATATGTGACTTACACAGAAATGAAATTGAGATTTGGTACTAAATGGTGCTTGGAGGAGTGAATTGGTTATTAAATGAATATTCTGGTGTTATTCTTGGTATTGACTCTTGAAGCCCCTCATTAGTTCCTGGTCCCACATGGCCTGTCCCCACTGAGGGAAGCATGGGATTCTGAAGGCAGGAGGAGGGGGCTTCTAGGGAGTCAGCTAGGCCGGGAGTGGGAAGAAGTAGATGCCAGAAGTAACCTCTCACACACGCCTGCTCATGTGCACACACGTGTACACACACACACACGCAGCCTGGTGTAGCCTGCACTCCACCCTGCCTCTGCTGGTTTGTCATGATTTCAGCCTCTAACTTTTTATGATTTTTTTATTTGTTCTTCTTAGTTACATGTGACAGTAGGATATTTGACACATTATACATACATGGAGTATGACTTTCAGCCTCTAATTTGGTCCCCTCTTTCAATTGTGAATTCCTCTCAGTCCCTCACCTGCCAGAGTGAACCTTCGGTGTCTTTAGCCACTGCAGTTGCTTCTGCTGGCCTACCTCTCCAGCTCCTTTATACACTTTTCCTGTAGCTCTTAAGAAAGGTCATTTTGTTATTTGAATTTAATGGTGTGAATGAAATATGATGAGAAGAGTTTGATAGATTGATTCAAACTCCGGTATTGACCAAAGGGGCTTGGATCACAAGATATGAGCTCACATACTCTTCATGTGGAAGCATTGTTTTCTTGTCAGATATTTTGGTCACAGTGAAGCAAAAGCTAACTAATGCAGAAATTTAGAGGACAAAAAGTTTATCTGAGGCTCACAGTTTCAGAGGTCTCAGTCCATAGATGATCACCTCCATTGCTCTGGGTCTGAGGCAAGAAGCTGCTCACCTCTTGGCAACAAAGAAGCAGGGGGCACTGGGAAGGGGCTGTAGGAAAGAACAATGCTTCCAGACCACGCCCCAGTGACCCGTTCTCCAGTCACTCCCCACCCGCCTACAGTTACCACCCAGTCCATTCAGAGTGGACTAATTAGGTTACAGCTCACACAATCCAATCATTTCACCTCTGAACATTCTAGCATTATCTCACATGAGCTTGAGGGGGACACCTCATATCCAAACCATGACACATGGCTCTGTGTCTGAACTGTATCATGCACTGAGACTCTCAGCTCTGCCCTGCAAAAGGCTCAGAGAGGAGGGAGGTGGACAGCACATAACAACAAAGCAGAGTGGTCATCCTCTAGGAGAGGGACCTCAGAGGCCCAGTGGAGCCAAAGGAGACAGTGGTAACTCCCAGATGGGGAGGTTGACCATGAAGGGTGCTGCAAAGAGATGCAGAAACTAAGTCTTGAAGGCCAAATGGGAGCTGGGTGCATGCATGTGCATGGTGGGGTGCAGCGTGAGCATTGCACACGGCATCCCAGAGAGAGGTGCTGGGAAGAGTGGAGTTGACACAGCAAGCCGTCCACAGCACTGGGAGCAAAAATGTTGCTGATGGTTGAATAAGAAACCATCAGAGCATCCAGCAGACTCTAAAGTCTTGTTCCTCAAAGTGAGATGTGGTGACCAGCACCACCTGTGAGCACATGAGGAACACAGGTCCTAGGGCCCTCCCCACTCTGAACCAGAGTGGCCCCTCAGCTGGACCTCCAGGCAACTTGCATTGTGCTCATGTTGAAAATGCAGAACGGTCCTTATGGAAGGTGGGTCCTCTGTTGGAGGAGTCTGGGGCAGTTGTCAAAAGGAAAAATAGGGGCTGGGGTTGCGGCTCAGTGGTAGAGTGCTTGCCTCACATGTGTGAGGCGCTGGGTTCGATTATCGGCACCACATATAAATAATTGAATAAAATAAAGGTCCATCAACACTAAAAAATATATTTTTTTTTTTAAAAAAAAAGGGAAACCAATTCTTGAACCACATAATCCTCTCTGTTTTCCACCCCAGGCATGCGCCAAGGCCACGACCATGGCACCCAGTACCGCTCGGCAATCTACCCGTCCTCTGCTGCGCAGATGGAGGCAGCCCTGAGGTCCAAGGAGGACTATCAGAAGGTAGGCCCCCTCACCTGCTGCCACCCTGACTCGGGCAGCCCTAAGGGCTGAGGGAGATTGGTTCTTTTCATCTGGAACTGTGTTCCGTTTTGAACAGCTTTTACCTGTAAACTGTCTCTTCTCGGGTCCTTTTTCATTTAGACTTTTATTACCTGGGCATGTGTGGTTGTGGTCATGCAGGGGGCCGCTAACATCCAACTGTCTCAATTCACATGATGTCTGTGTGACTTAATAGTCATGTGCCTGAATCTTAGAAATCATGTGCAAGAGAGAGTTTCCCCACGTGACTTATGTACCGGTGATCTAGCGCACCTGCAGCTGTGTAGTAGTGGTGACAGTACTAGGATAGCAACGGCCAACTGGCCGGATGTTGGCTACAGGCTGATTACTGTTTGAGGTATTTATAAGTGAAGGTATTTCATAAATCTCTCACTGTACCTTTCTATATATACACATAGATATGCTTAGAGGTAGGTGTATCTCTCAGTATCTTCACATAAACTTGTATGCAGTCATCTATTTCTGAGATCCTTATTTCTAGTTTTGATACATATGAATTTCTAACTTGATAATTGATTTCTAGTTTGATACATATGAATTTCCTTGGTATAATTTCCTAGGTATAATATACATACCAAACAATCAAAAATTTGCCTGTGAAAGGTGAAATGGTGAGCTTTTATGCCATAAAGTAGCCCATCTTTTCTTTCATATTTACCTTAGAACATATTTTTGAAACTGGGAGCCACAAAGTAGGGGAGACGTGGTTTTCACCATTGGCTTCCCAGCTGAATGAGGAGGCAGTGTCTGGGCAGGTGACCAGGACTGGCCCTCCTCAGCTGTATGCTTAGATTTATTCCTAAGAGCGGGTGGGGATTCTGCCAACCTCCCGTTCCATTCATTTTCTGTTTCCCGTTCTCCCTCTTCAAGGTTGGCATTTAGTCCGTGTCACTGCATTCTGTGGCTGCATCTAATGTGAGCCTGGTGGGACCCCATGTGCCAGCTGTGACACGACTTAGGTTACTAAGTGTAATGGTCGTCACTGGTTGCCCCCAGCGACCCCTAGCAACCAGCTTCTTCAGCAACTTCTTGATGTGCGATGTTTAGAGTGACAGTATTGCTTACCACAGAGCAGCCATTTGAACATAAAATTAGCTGATTTTATCACAGGGACCAATTGTTCAGCTAATTAGATGTGCAGTACCGCTGAGGGGCCAGAAACCAAAAGTGATTTTCCATCTAAACTGTGGTTTTCTGCAAAGCTGGCTGGGCTGTGGATCCCGGCTCGCGTGCAACCGAGGGAAGGAGGATGGCTGAAGAGGTTTGTTATTTCCTGTCAGACTGGAGGGGCAGGAAGACCTCAGGAGAAGGACCACCTTGAGGAGTGAAATTTGAACTTCACACTGGGTGTGCTGACCCTGAACGTGCAGGGTTATTCTCACCGAGCTTGACAGATAAAGGCTGTGGAGGTGTTCTTGCCTCTTGAGGAAGTCTTTGTAACCTCTCCCTAACCTCTTTTTCATATTCAAAATTTTTCCTTAGAGAATTTCACAGAAGTATTATTTGCTTATAACATTGATTAGAAGATATGGTCAAACGTATTATTATTATTTTTAAATATCAAACGTGGACAATTTACCTGCCAAGTATGCCTGTGAAACATCTCTGGCATCCTAAACTGAAGCAAGCCTGATATGGGTGGGGTGGTCAGGGATTCTCTTATCCTGAAAATGTGGCTCTTCCTCACTTAGGAATTAAATCTTTTGACCACTGAGAGATTATGTGTCTTGAAATGTGAATGTAAATTAACAAATATAAAGCTAGCTCTCTGGGCCATAGGACCTAACTTCTTCCCAACTCCTCAAGGTTTGTGAGCAGAAAATACAATTCTTCTGAATATTTCTTTCATTAAAAGGGAGAAGAAAAGCAGAGTTTTCCTTTGTATATGTTGTACATCATACTGAGTCTTTTTTTTTTTGGATGGGGGTTGGGGGGTGGGAAGGAACAAGTTGGGCACAGGGAATGTTCCCGTTGTATTTAAGAAGGCCACCTCTGCTGTCCTGTGTGGGTAGTCACAGTCACGGAGAGAGGAGAGGTTCAGTGGCCCAGGAATAGATCACGGTGGCCTAAGGTATGATATGAACATGACAGTGAAAGAGAAGCAGGGAAACTAGAGATGGAGCTGAGAGGTAGAATCTGGGTTAATCTGGCCAACTGGCCGTGAGGGTGAGTGACAGGCACGGATGAGGGTGATTCATAGGGAAGGCTGTTGGGGGCAGGCAGAGGAGAAACACAGGGGCCTTGTTTCACTCCAAACACAACAGGGAAGCCAGGAACAAGTTGAACCCAGGGGTGCTTAACCACTGAGCCACATCCTCAGCCCTTTTTATTTTTTATTCTGCCAGCCATATTAAGTCTTAATAAGACTAATACATTTCTGGATGGAGCAAATGCCAAATTACCCACTATATTTCAAATATAAAAAGTGTTGCAAAATCTGTCTCTATCAGTCTTTCTGTTCAGCCATCCACCCATCCATCTACTCACCCATCCATCACCCACGTGACTGCTCAACTCACGTCAGAGTCAGGAAGGAGAAAGAGAGAAGGAGGTGGCAGGAAGGGACCATAGGGAAGAACACACACCCAGTGACCCACCTTCTCCAGCCACACCCCTCCTGCCTACAGTTGCCACCCAGTCAGCCCATTCAGACTAGGAAGGACTGATTGGGGGACAGCTGTAATAACCTAATCATTTGCCTCTGAATCTTTCCGCATTAATGTGAGCTCTGGGGATACCTCGTATCCAAGACAAAATAAAGACCGTTATTTATGATGTTCACTGAAGCATTTAATTTGTAGCTTAAATGTCATATCTCACCAATGACACTCATGTTTGTGGTCCACACCACCCACAGGGCTCCAGCTCCCCACCCGTGAGTGCCTACTTGTTATTTTCACTTCCTTTTCAACAGTATATCTGAAGGCACCTTACAACACAGCTCAAGGCCCCTGTGTTCCTCCTCTGCCTGCCCCCAACAGCCTTCCCTATGAATCACCCTCATCTGTGCCTGTTACTCACCCTCACGGCCAGTTGGCCAGATTAACCCAGATTCTACCTCACAGCTCCATCTCTAGTTTCCCTGCTTCTCTTTCATTGTCATGTTCATATCATACCTTAGGTCACTGTGATCTGTTCCTGGGCCACTGAACCTCTCCTCTCTCTGTGACTGTGACTACCCACACAGGCCAGCAGAGGGGGCCTTCTTAAATACAACGGCAACATTCCCTTCCCTGTGCCCAACTTGTTCCTGGCTTCCCTGTTGTGTTTGGAGTGAAATCCAAAGCCCTTTGCAGGGTCTACCAGGTCCTGCAGTCATCGTGCCATCTTCCCATGAGACATCTGTAACTGTCATCAGAGTGCCTAAATAGTGTGGCATAGCTGAGATGTGACAAATAGTTCTGGCCCAAAGATCAAGCACTTCTAGGGGCCTCGGTGAGAACCACAGGTGCTCAAGAACTTGTGAACACCATGTAGAATTATTCCAGGTTTCCTTATATTCCGAGGTTAATTCCTGTGTGGGCCCCCTGTTGCCTTGGAGACCAAATCTATAGGTTGTGGAGTTCTGCTGGACTGGGGGTGTTGATGCCAGGAGTAGCAGACTCTCTCCTGCACCCTGGTGCTCCTGAGCCCAGAGCACGCTCTCCTGACCAGGGGAGTGCCAAGGTTGCGATTGTACCCTGATACTTGCTGGGATGAAGTCAGACATTGGCCTAGAAAACAACCTCCCTTTCCTAATTTTTGCCATCTCTGACTTGTCTCCCTATATTAGTCCCTGATGGCTGTTGTAACCAATTTCCACAAACCTGGTGACTCACAACCACAAGAGTTTATTCTGTCACAGTTCTGGAGGACACA